TACAAGCTCTCAAATGAACTTTAACTGAAAAGGGCAATAAATAAAGCCAGAGTGAGAGGTAGAATGATATAATGAAAAGATAACAGCTGGAAGACCTGGGTTCCAGACTTTGCTATGTCATCAGTTGGCTGTGTGATTTGGCCTAAGTTGTTTAAGCTCTTTTAGTTGTCTCACCTATAAAATGTGAGGATAAACTGGTAAGGGTACAAAAATCCTCTGAGTACTAAGTATCAAGAGATTTTTTTTGACTTCAGTCTTACTCATTGTGGTAGGCAATACCTTGTCCCAATGACCCCAATGATGTCTACAATGCCTACATCCTAATCCCTGGAACCTGTGAAAATGTTACATGTCAGGGTGGAATTAAAGTAGCTCATAAGCTACTGTAAAATCAGGAGACTGGGCCAGCAGGTGGTATGGTAGTTAAGGTGCTGGACTCCCACATGGCTGACCATAGTTTGAATTCCAAACCTGGTAGTTTGAAAATCATGCCAGATGCATGTGCATGCATGCCCCAAATCCCAAGAGAATGGAGAAAGGAATGCAAAGAGGCCATTCCCTCAGGAGATTTCTCACTTTCCCTTTCACTGCCTCTGTCTCTCTCCTCTCCCATGAGTGTATGTTCCCTATGGCAAGAATCTTTAAAAATTTTTTTAAAAAAGGAGATTATTCTGAATGATCTGGGTCAGCCCACAAGGGCTCTCAGAACAGAAGCAGAAGAGCAAGAGTCAGAGTGACGTGATGTGAGAGAAACTTGACCAACCACTGCTGGCTTTGAAGATGGAGGAAGGGGCCATGATGAACCAAGGACTGTCAGTAGACTCTAGAAGCTGGAAAAAAATAGGAATTCTTCCCTATGGCCTTCAGAAAGGAGCCTAGTCCTGCAGACACTTTGATTTTAGCCAAATGAGACCCATATAGACTTCTGACCTCCTGATATAAGTAATAAATATGTGTTGCTTAAGTCCATTAAGCTTGTGATCCTTTGGTATAGCAACAATAGCAAACTAATACAACCATGGCATGTACTGCAGAATTGGACTCAAGTTTATCACAGATGCAGGGTTTCAGGTAAAAAATCCTATACTCCGGTGTTCTGTAAAGATCTTCAGAGCCAGAAGTAAACAGAGACTATGAAAAAGTTTGTAAAAAAGCTGTGGTAATCAGTGGAGAGTCTACAGGGAATGATTTTTAAATAGTTATTTAATTTTATTAATTATTATTATTTATCTATTTATTTTTGGAGAGGTTTTTGCTATAGGGCACATGTGCTCGCCAGAAAGACAGGCAGAGAAGGGGAGCCAGAAAGCAAGAAATCACCCCCACAGGTGATTTTCCTCCATTCCCTTTTCCTCCCTTCTTCTCTTGGGATCTTGGGCAGGCACGCACACATGCCCAGCATGAGTTTAAGCCAATGGGTCTGGGACTTGAACTGTGATCGACTGCATGGGAGTCCAGCGACATAGCCATTATGCTAATCGCTGGTCCGCATTTTTTAATGTGACCAGTTGGAGAGCAGTGAGAAAGCAAGCTGCCAGGTTAGGGACTCAAACTACAGTCAGCCATGTGGGAATCCAGTGCCTTAACTACCATGCCACCCACCAGCCCCAAGGGGAATGAATTTTTTTGCTAGTGTTTCATGCGAAGAGTAGAAACCAGGATATATTATGATGGCAAGAAAATGGTAAAGGAAGAGAAAATAGAAAGATGACCTACAATGTAAGTTTCTTACTTAGTTTATGCATAAATTGAAAAGCTGGGATAATAATTTCTAAATTTCTCTAGCTCTACAACAAAACTGAAATCCTAACAGGTGCTAAAATGGGCCTCTGACCCCACTCTCCCATCTCAAAGTTTTAAGAGCAATTATTTTAGAAAACCTTATAGTTATCTTTAGTATCTGATGGTTAAATTTCACAGAAAGCTCTAACTTACTCCAGCAAGTAAGTGGCTCTGAACTTTAATCCTGACATTTTCTTTCAGGTAGGGTATATGGAAAAATAGCTTAGCTTGCCTTTTTTTTTTTTTTCCTTGCCTTTTTCTTATGAGAGAAAGGAGAGAGGGAAGAAGGGAAACAGAGACAAAGAGGTAGGTTTTTTTTTTTTTTTTTTTTTTTAAAAGCAAGGTTTTTGCTATAGGGTATGTGCATTTGCTGGACAGACAGACAAAGACAGAAAGCGAGAAATCACCCCCCTGGGGGGATGGCCATGCCACAGCCCCTTCTCCTCCATTCATCTCTTGGCATCTTGGGCATGCATGCACAGGTACCCGGAGTGAGTTTTAAGCTGCCAGGTCTGGGACTTGAACCATAGTCAACTATGTCGGAGTCCAGTTACATAACCATCATGCCATCTGCTGGTCCTAGAAGTAGGTATTTTTGACAGGGTTTTGCTATGCTGTGACCTTCCTGACCCAGCCTCTCAATTAGCCAGAATTACAGGCACATGCAATTGTATCCAACCTGTTCAGGTTGGCCCAAGAAACCAAACTTATATCTCCCAAGTGGTTTCCAGCTTCTCAACCAGTGGTGCTACATGTACGCTACTGTGTCTGGGCCCATTTAGCCTTCTTAATCTTCTGCCACTTTGCATGTAAAAGTATATTAAATGCTTTGCTAGATGGATTTCCCAAAGAATGAACTATTTAAGATGGCAGAAGGTTTATTAAAGATTCCTTTATGTAACTAACCTTCATATACCTTTGATAGAACTATTTCTAAAAGGAAAAACATGTCCCATATTTCTGTAAAGTGTGGAGTAATATATTATCTTTTTTTGAAAAACGTTATCACTAGTAACAAAAATTACTACACTTGGTGTAAAATAGTAATGGTTTAGACAAGGGTCTGCAACCTATGGCCTGCAGGCTGTTTTTGTATGCTTGGAAGGTAAAAATGATTTTACATTTTTAAAGGGTTGTTAAAAAATATGACCCAGTCCATATATAGTCTGCAAAGCTTAAAAGATTTACTATTTAGCCCTTTACAGAAAGGTTTATTGACTCTTACTCTAGAAAAAGACGTGTAAGCCTTTTCACCAAATGTCCTAAACTAAACTGAACTTTATGCTCTGTCCCTAAAGAAAGCACATCTACCTTGGCATAATGTCTGACAAGGTAGGAGCTCAAACATTTGTGGGAAAAAAAAGGGCTCTGGTATTTAAAATTCTTTCCTTGCTTGTTGTGAAACATTCTCCTGCTCTCAGGTTTTTGTCAATCACTATGCCTGACCCTACCAATCTCTCCTCTTTTCTACTCTCCACCTTCTCATCTTTGGAAATATAACATAGCTTATAAACATTTTAAACAAGGTAAGAATAAATTGGTTATGTGAAGATCTAGAAACTATTTCTGGAGTAAAATATAGGTGGTGTGGTACAATGATTTGGTGGCTTATTTTGATAGCTCCAAGGCCAAGGCCTTTATGTTTATTTCCAGGTTGTCTGTTATCGTTTGCAATAGTTTGGAAAAGATGAGGTCTTACTGCAGTACACTTGGTTATTTTGTATTTTTATAATATAAAAATAATATTAAACTGAAGTAATCTGACAGTATTTTTATACCTATATAACATATATTTAAAATATACTTAATACATATATATGAACATACATTACTTTTATAATCAGAAAAACCACTTTAGTTTAAAAAAGAAAAATGAATCAGAAGGATCTCTTGGGATCAGTAGCTGGTGTAATGGCTATGTCGCTGGACTCCCATGTAGTTGACCACGATTTGAGTCCAGGACCTGGTGGCTTAAACTCACGCCGGGTGCGTGTGCATGCATGCCCAAGATTCCGAGAGGAGAATGGAGGAGAAAGGATTGTGGCATGGCCATCCCCCCTGGGGGTGATTTCTCGCTTTCTATCTCTCTGTCTTTCTGGTGAGCACATATGCCCTATAGCAAAAACCTCTCCAAAAAAAAGAAGGATCTCTTCATCAACCCATTGACCTAACAACAATTTTATTGAGTGTACTTTTCATAATTATTTGATTGTACTAGTCTTTTAATGATTGCAAATATTGTGTTTATGGGTTTTTATTTTGATTCTCAGTTAGGCTGCCATAAGGTTCCCCAAGGTTACTATAATATTGAGAAAATAATTTGTAAATATAAAATACTGCAAGAACACCAGCAATCAGTATGGTCAAAGGAGACTATCTTTTTGACCTCCGATGAACTCATTATTTAACACAAGTTCAGACGATGACACCCAATTTGGATTGTGTTATGGTTGACAAGCTGCTTTACTGCATTTAGTGCTCACAACAACCCTGCGAGGTAGGCACATTCTCGGAGTAAAATGATGGGGCCAAAGTCATTCGGCTAGTCCTGGCTAGTCCGAAAAGGCCAAGGAAACAGGTTGCACGACTTCGGAGGCGCCTCTGGTACTACAAGGGTTTTCACTAAACCCTGGCCTCTTACGTTCCCTCATTTGGTATTTACCTTTACAAACTCGAATTTTGTCTCTTGCACGCAAGGAAGACTTTGGACTGGGGAGACCTGTAACTCCCACCAAGGCTCCCACAGTCCATCCAGGACCCAGTGCCAGTGCAGGGCACCGGGCGCAGTAAGCCCCTTTTCCGCAGACCCTGGGGACTAACCTGACCAAGTCGGTCATGCAGGAGCCCACCACAGCCACCGCCGCCACTTCCTCCTGCCACTGTCTCCGGGGCTCCCCAGATGCCGCCATTGCTAAGACGGTGCTGTCCTACAGGACGCTGACCTTTGCCCGCCCCCGTAACCAGAGACGCCTCCCCGACTCTCCCTAACAACGCGGGCCTCTCGGACGCCCAAACGGGGTCGCCCTTGGAGCGCCACGGGGGCGCGCAGGTCGCCCGGCTCCTCGGCCGCTGAGGGGGCGGGGCGGGCGGGACGTCCAGGGGCGCGCACGCATCCGGCCCGCGGTGCGCGCGCAGGTCGGTGCGTTGGTCGGGGGCGCGCTCGGGTAACCTGTACCCCACGTAATCGCCGGTTACCGATCGGACTAAGTTCCAGGTACCTGGACTGGGGCTGGTGCGGGGAGGTTGGATCCCGAGTCGCACAGGTGACGCTGAGAACCTTGGTTTAAATGTGGCCAGAGGGCTCGCCTCCTCTTCCTTCAGAGAAGGCCTCCGTTCCAAAGATGCCCCGTTCACCCCCGTCACGCTGGTCCCCTCAAGAACCAAGCCCCAAGGCCAGAGGCTTCTCTTTCTCCATTTGTGGCCCGTATGCTGGTCCCTGATTAAGCCCAGAGAATTAATCCCTACTCTTTCTCGGTTGATGAGAGGATCATACAGTCTGGGAGAAGGGAGTGTGTCCCCTTTTAGAATCATCTAGAGTTGGGTGGTCATTCTTTGGGTCGGAACCGACTTGTTTTTCTTGAACGTCGCCCCTTGGAGAAATCGCTCCCCCTGGGTAACTTCCCTTGTGCGCTGTGTGACGTCGACATGACGCAGCAGGACGCCACCCCTTTCCGTTCCATGACGTCAACTGGGCACATGTTTCCGTGTTTGTCATCCCATGGTAATTGCAAGAACCTGGACGGGGCTGTAGACGTCTTTGTGTTCCCCAGGTCACATATCGAAAGGCCTTATGTGACCTTATTTCTGGGCAGCAGAAAAATTGTATTTTTGCATTTCCCTTCAGAAATACAGCAAATTCAGGAAATAACAAATTTCAGAACTAGTATTCAGAGGAGGCTGGCCACTATAAATTGTCGTGTGCCTGATATCTTCATAGAGCTGCCATGTGTAAAGGTGACTATTGGGGACTATTCCGCCCCCCCTTTTCCTCCCTCCCCCCATGTTCCTGGCTCACTGTCCCAAAGAGCCATCATCTCTGGGCTATTTATTGATCTGTGATCTTGCAGTCAATACATTTTTCCTCTTAGAAATATCACACCTCCTGATGGTTGAGATAGATTTAATGCTGCAAGAAATCTTGCCCTGTGGAAGAATGTTGACAGAAATTGCTCCCTTCAGGTGTCATCATTCTAAAGGCATGATAGCTGCTGAATTGGAACGGGTGGGTGGTTGCCACCCGTTCCAATTCAAGTATGATCATTCCAATTCAAGTATGATCTGACTTCTGTAGCAGGTTTGTTTCCTTTACCATTTGACCGGCTTAGTGTAACTTGTCCCTGGTTGTAAAGCAATTACTCTTTTAAATGAATGACTTTTTGTTTGTTCAGAACAATCACCTTGATGCTTTTCTTTTTGTTGATTGAAGTTGTTGAACGTGGGTATGGTGGACTTTGAGTGAGATCTGGGTTTGACATCTGATCCTTCTGTTTGCTACATTTGTGTTTTCAAGCAAGTCACTTTGTCTTGCTGAGCTTCAGTTTTCTCATCTATAAAATGGGAACAGGAATAACCAGGGAGTAGGGCTGTTGTGGGGAGATGGGAAGAGTAAATGAAAGTACAGTGAGAGGTGAGTAATACAGTGCTGATAGTGAGTAGATGTTTCGATTGTGTTGATGGTGCTTCCTTTTAGAAATGAGAGGTAAAATGATAATGTTGTTAAGTACTGTGGGGAAAAACCAGAATAATTTTGTGATATAGGTGAGATCTTTCTGCTTTTTTCTGAAATGAGTATTTCTGTGTTTTGCATACGATTTAGATAAGCTTCCCTTCAAGAATTGTAGTATTGTGGATAGAAAAAAAGGTGGAAATGTTGCAGAACGAAAAAAAAGTAGTCTTCAAATTAGTAATGTGGATAAATATAAACATACTGTTTAAAGACATAGTGTAAATTATCCATGTCATCTACAACCTGGGAATAGACATACCTGTCTTACTAAGTTGTGAGGCTCAGTTACAATAATGTATATGAAATCTCTATAAACGATAAAGTGTTATAAAAATTACATAATTTTTATGATCGATAGTATAGTTCATTAGATGTTTGTTCTTTTTTTTAAAAAGAATTATTTATTTAATTTTATTCATTCATTTATTTTAATTTGACAGAGAGAGAGAGAGAGAGAGAGAGAGAGAGAAAGTAAGCAAGCCACCAGGTCCAGGACTTGAACCTTGGTTGGCCATGTGGGAGTGTCCAGCACCCCAACCACCATGCCACCTGCTAGTCCCCAGATGTTTGTTCTTTCTAATAACATAATGATGGGAAGTCATCCCTTACGTGGATAAAAGAGGTGTATGTTTATATTTCAGAACGGATGATTTGGGAACTAAAAAATGAGGTATAAAGCTTTTATCACCTCCAAGATATATCTAGTTACTACATAGATCATAATATTATTATTTTTTTTAAAGATCATTTTACTCTTTTCCTTAATTACTACCTGAATTGATAAAACAGGTATTAGTTTTCAGCATTTGTTTTACCTGGGAGTTATAAGTTCTGATGGATATAATATATGAAAATTAGAACCAGAACATAAGTTACTTGTAATTGTAACTTGCTGGGAATTAATTTGCTTTTGATGTGAGATTATCCTTTCAGATTGAGGGAGAAAATGATCATTTACATTGATTTATTCACTTCTGAAAGTAGTGTCTTTCATTTAGAAATATATGAAGAAGAATTCATGTACTCCCTCTGCCAGCCCTATGAGTTTCCAAGTAATTTAGATGTGATTTATTGGTTTTACTATTGTATTTCAAGTGCCTTAAAGCCAAAGATTTTAAGATTCTTGTTAGTCTGTTTTGTTTAATATCTGGGCAGGTGTATATTTAACTGTTAAAGTGGAGTTTTGCTACATCTCGTCTTCAGATGTTGCTACTTCTCTGCTGTTATTTTAAAATGTTTATTGAGTGCTTTTTTTGTGCCAGGTATTTTTCTTGAACACTAGAGATTCAAGATATAACCCCTACAGGAGAGAGCTGGCATAGGCAGATATTATAATGCACAGAAGAGGGATTGTTATTGAAGAGAGAAATATGACGGGGCCAGCAGGTGGCGTGGCGCTTAAGGCACTGGACTCCCACCTGGCCTACCACAGTTTGAGGCCCAGACCTGACAGCTGACTTTCTCACTTTCCTGTCCTCCTCCACCATAGCACGCATGCCCTATAGCAAATGAAAGCATAATAATGATGATAAGTAAAATTAAATATTTTTTTTAAAGAGAGGTATATCAGAAGAAAAGAATCTCTAGTAATAATTGCAAACAGATTATACTTGTTCTAAAGTTTTATATAGTATTACTGGTCAAGTTTTTACTCCTTGTTGGGACACAGAGGTAGATATTCCTAACCCATCGGGTAAGTATTTCACGTTTTAGGAGGAGAGGGTTGTTATTGAAGGCTTCTTGGTCTTCATGTAGAACAACTCAATTATAAGACAGATAGATATTGTAGATAGCTCTAAGTGGAGTGTGGCAGTGTACAGAAATCAGCTTTGGAAAGAAGGAGGGAATTGTACTTCCAAGAGTTTTTTCTGTTCCTGAAAAGTAGTAGTGTAGTCCATGTTCTCAGTAGCTGAGCAACAGGGAGGTAGTTTCTTCTAGAAGATCATTGGAAAAGGCTCCTCTAAAGACAGGAAATACAGTATTTATCCATGTAAGAGAAAATTCCAGTGCTGTACCAGTTTTCAGGAAGTTTGTTTTCTTTTTCTAGTTCCTTTGGATAGTCTGATCACTCTTCTTCCCTTCTGCTTTCAGTGGTAATTTTCAAATCAAGTTAAAATGTCCCCAGAAGTGGCCTTGAATCGAATTTCTCCAATGCTCTCCCCATTCATATCCAGCGTGGTCCGGAATGGAAAAGTGGGACTGGATGCTACAAACTGTTTGAGGATAACTGACTTGAAATCTGGGTATGTACCAGAACTAATTCAGTGGATGGACTAGAATCAGAATCTATTCAACCTTTACCTAATAATTTACCTTTCTCAAAAATTGAACACCACAGAAATTCATCAAGTCATGATCTTATTACTTGTTGACTGAGTTAGTTTTGTCCAGTTCTCGACAAATTTATTTTTCAAGTTGTTTTATTTGTGTGGTGGGCCATTGCTTCCTGACCAGAATGTTTGTCTTTTTTTCCTGGCTTATCTCTTTGTGAACAACATGCCACATTTAGCAAGTGTATTTTTGTTCAGCGGCTTATTTTCTTGTTATGTTTGCTGCAATCCAGCATACACTGTAAGAATTGGGTTTTGAGATTCTGAATCTGACATCATTTGATAATCTCACCATATGAAAATTAGAATAGCTAGCCAAAATGAGTCATTTCTCAAATGGGTTGAAACAGCAAGATCTCACATCAAGAAATGTTGCATTAAAATTTTTTTTGAAATAAATTTAGATTTACCAAAAAGTTAAAGAAATACCACAGGAAATGAGCATCATTACAATATTCTTAATTATTCAACACATTTTATTTGAATTTTGCCAGATTTCCCATTAATATCTTTTTTTTGGTTTTGATTGAGTAGAACATAGAGATAGGTCTTCTTTAGCTTGTCAGAGGTTTTGAAGACCTGACAGGGGACCGATGGCTAGGGGACTGGTGGCTGGTTTGTATTTAATGATATAAGCCTGACCCCCTTATCGTATCTATGTCCTGAGAGACCAGCTGGGTTCATCAGGAGAAACTCATGCTGCTTCTTTTTTTGTAGATTCCCTTTTGGGTTCTTCCAAATTTTTGAATGTTCAGTTGAGCGCTTAAGTGGACGATAAATTTGAAATGAATCCACAAATCTTGGCCCTGTCTAGACTAGCTATGCCTGAAAAATATTTGGAATGGCATTTGATGACATGCAGTATTTATGGAATTTGAGTCTCTTTAGCTTTAAAAGAAGAAATAAAAATACCTCTTCTTACATTAGCGAAGATTCTCTGCATAAAATGATGTGAATAACCTTGTTAATCCAGAGCATTATTAATGTCTTTTATGTAGTACATGTCTGAAGGATTCAGGAAGTTTCTTTTTTTTTTTTTGGAGAGATTTTCACTGTAGGGCGCGTGTGCTCGCCAGACAGACAGAGAGAGACATAGAGACAGAAAGCGAGAAATCACCCCCCAGGGGGGATGGTCACGCCGCAATCCCTTCTCCTCCATTCTCCTCTCGGGATCTTGGGCACGCACGCACATGCGCCCGGTGTGAATTTTAAGCCACCGGGTCCGGGACACGAACCGCGGTCGACTACGTGGGAGTCCAGCGACATAGCCATTACGCTAACTGCTGGTTCCCAGGAAGTTTCTTTTTTTTTAAATTTTATTTTTGTTTGAGAGGTTTTTGCTATAGGGCGCATGCGCTCACAGGAAAGACAGAAAGAGACAGAAAGTGAGAAATCAACCCCCCCCCCCCCCCCCCCCCCGG